AAAGATACTAATAACAGTATCCAATAAGTGCATCCCAAATATGAATTATGGCGTCTTAGCAATCATGTATGTAATATCTTATACCTGAGGCACATAATGGTCTGTGCGTATGTAGCTAGATAAACATCCACCTTGGTAGGTATACACAAATCATGTTACGGCGTGTGGTGACTGAAATAGGATTTGCCGTCTGCTGAAGATATCCTAGTAATGACTAGGCGAGTAAGTACGAGACGATATAGACAGGTACGGTTAGGGGTGTTAAACTGATCGGGCGAGGCACAAAAGATTAGGACTGAAGAACGAGAGATCGAGAGGTCGAGATGAGTAGTATGATTATAGAGACTATGAGGATATAAGATTGAGAAGCTGAAGAACTACTTTAGAGTAACTCCAGCTTCCTTAAGTATAACTAATTACGTGCTAGATGTAAGTGAGGCTTTGAAAGATTATGTCATGGTAAGCCCCTCTGTCAGGCTCGTTGGCTAGTTCGGAGGTCAAGGGTCGGAACAGGACGGAGTCGGGACGGATGTAGTCGGGACGGAATGTGATCGGAACAGGATGTGATCGGAACAGGATGTGATCGGAACAGGATGTGATCGGAACGGGACGAGGGCGAGACAAGACGGAGACGGAACGTGACGGAGGCGGAACGGGACGGAGGCGGAACGGGACGGGACGAAGGCGGAACGGGACAGAGTCGGGGTATAAGGTAAAGCTTATAATAATCGGATCAATCTAAAGTCTAGAATAATTACAAGACAAAAAGCTACAGAACAAATCCAGTCCTAGACCTTCCTTAAGTACTCAAGAGCGGCTACTACAATCAGGGGTATGGTAGTCTACAGCTATAACACAGCAACTGATTGCTTATGTTGATTAGTAACTGTTGCTATCATAACATTGTAACCATCGCAACGCATTGACTATGTTACTAGGGAAGCTCCTGACTTGGTTGACCAGACTAAGCGCAGCATCTCAGCATTAGCCCATGGCACAATGGTAGTGACAAGCAGGCCGTTTTCCTCGTGGGGAAAGCCGGTCTGTGACACCCTCCAACTCTAATTATCAGAGTTTTCTCGGATATCTTCTCATTGAACCTTTTCCTGAGAACCTTCTCCTTAAACCTTTTACTTGAACCTCCTCCTTGAACCTTCTCCTTGAACCTTCTTCAAGGATGCCTGGCCATAACACTATTCTCCCCTTTTACTGAGCGAAGTTCCGATGAGCGAAAATAATGTTTGGATGGGTAACGGACATAGAACTTGTCAAGTGCTTCAAGGTCTCTGACAAATTCATACGGCTCCCAGGTTGGTATTGGATCGCCCAGGTACTTCACTAGAAAAGGCTTAGATCCCCGTGGTTTTGCGTCGAGTATTTCTTCTACCACGTATTCAAATTCACCGTTGACAATAACTGGTGGGGGTGCAGGTTTGACTTGTCCTGGCAACGGATCAATTGCTACTGGTTCCAGAAGCGAAACATGAAATACCGGGTGAATTTTCATGGCATATGGAAGTTTTAACTTGTATGCATGAGACAAAATTTTCTTTAGTATCTTAAAGGGACCTAAGCGTTTGTGGTCTAGTTTATTGGAGGGTCTAGTAGTGGAGATGTGTCTTCTTAGGAGCCACACTTTATCTCCTTCTTTGAAGACTGGCGGAGGAATACGGCTCGAGTTTGCGTTTTCTTCTGATACTTGCTGAGCATATTTGATTTCCGACCGAATGAAGTCCTCGAGTTGTTCAAGTTTTTGTTGAAATTTTAGAAGTTCTATAGGTTTAGTGCGAGAGTGAGAAGAACGAGCGAGAATCTGATATCGAGGGTTAAAGCCATAGTTGGCAAAGAACGGTGATACTCTAGTTGAGGAAGAAATGGAGTTGTTGTACGAAAACTCAGCCATAGAAAGGTAGCCATGCCAATTATCTTGTTGATAATTACAATATGCTCGAAGATATTGTTCCAGAATTGCATTAACGCGCTCAGTTTGCCCATCGGTCTGGGGATGAAAGGCACTACTAAACCGAAGTTTGATTGAAAGACAAGAAGCCATTTCATTCATCCATATCTGTAAATGCCTGTTCAAGAAGCACTAGAATAGATTCACATAAAGCGAACTGGATTGTGCCATCTCTGTTGATGCCGTGCGATATTGTGGAGTAAGCTTTGCCTTTCCAACGGGAGATTAAGTTCAGCATCTTGCATTGTTTATTATGTTGTGAATATCATGAATCTGATATAGAAGAGTCAGCTCGCGGCAGATGAGTGGTGCCCGACAAGTCTTATACCTAGGATGCCCTGCCATCACGCAACAACAAGCAATACAACGGAGTAAGGGAGCCATCGCCAAGGAGTGCCTCGTATCAGAAGTATCATGTCATGAGTATTCATCTTTACTCGACTGATACATGGTCAGTGGGTGATGCAACTGAGTCAAGGAGCCACTACTAGGGAACATAGTATCTCCGGGGTTCTATGTCATGAATATACGTCTAGGATGTAGTGGCACAAAATTGATGAGGGACGCAGATGAGTCAAGGAATTCCCCGTCGGAGTTAGAGAAGGAATGGTGTAGTAATGTAGATTGAGGACAAGCGAGGGAGACATATATATAACAGAGCAATAACTCTGCAAGTAGATATTATCAATCAACTATTCTAAACTCTCATCTACTATAGTCTCAACTCACCTATAGATAGACCCCAACAACTCATTAGCTTGACCAAACAATAGCACAGGTATATCTCTATCCACTCATAACCCAGTTTCATAATACATTAGAGTACCAATCACTATTAGCTTTGAACTTCATGTTCATATTTCTAATGAATAGTGGTAGTTCTTTCCGTAACGCAGAGTCATTAGTGGAGAACGCTTCCGGGTCAGGGTGGTTGGCTGATCGATGTGGGACGGGGGGATTCTGTCGAGAGGTCGCTACTTGGTGGTCCAGGTTCTGAATTTGCTGAAGTAGGGATCTATTTTGTTGATGGACAGTGTTAATTTATTGCTGCAAGCTGGTATTTTGTAGCTGCAACTGCGAGCTACTTGAAATTGCAGTCTTTTTCTGTCCCTCTAGTTTTGAACTGGTGTCTGCGAGCTCCTGGTTTTTCTCGAGGAGTTTATCATAGGCATTCTTGTACTGGAGGAGCCCACTCTCTAATTGAACACACGTTTTCGCCAGTGTCATAATCTCATCGCTGAGCTGTACTGCGGTACTGCCATGAATCCCACTCTGCATAGCCTCGATAAACAGCTGCTGGTTTGGAACAGAGTAAAGATGTGGGTACTTTTCCGCTGAGACTGCATCATGCTCTCGGAATATTTCTACTGAGAAGGCATTTGGTTGGTATTGCGGTATTTCAGTGCCTTCTAGATTCCAAAGGTAATTTTCTATTTTGGCAGCTAAAAGTGTGTATGGAATAGTATGATTGCACAGGCTAGATACAAATTTGAGATGTTTTACGCGCAATGGCAGTATTATGTGGTAGAGGCAGATAATATGTCACGGTAAAGGAAGCTAGATCGAAAAGGTCAAATCTTGTGGAATAGATTGTCTACAAAGGGGAAATAGAATACCTGAGGAATACTCACATTGCAACCTTGAAATGGTTCACTCAAGGAGAATGGCCTGATTAGAGGAGTAATAAATGAAAAGAAAATTCATCATGGAAATTTGACAAAGGTATTAGAAAAAGATATGAAGGGAAATGATTTTGAGATGTGTGGCGTGATTGTTATTATTTTTTGGTTTTATTTCTTTTGTCAGGTACAAAGTACCCTCCTGGTGAACCAGTAATGGGGATCCCACCATCAAATTAAAGAAACCCCTAATTAGAATGGAAAAGATAAGTTGTATTTAAATAGTCTGTCCTACATAGTTATAAACTCAAATAGGACATAAATGGATTATTATTATTATTACAAAGGGGAAATGGAACTCTTGCTGAGTTCTGTCAAGCTATCTACAGAATGAGTGACGGGTTAAGGTCATGACGTGTGACGAAACCAAGCTGGTTGTAGTGTACTTTTAGAAAGATTAAACTATATGAAGGGAGAAGTATCACAACTACGGGCAATGACTATTTGTACATACTTCTAGCTCATCCAGTACGTACTCTGTTGGTAAGAATGACATATTGCTCCGCCACTGCCCGTCGTCATCTTTGCCATCTAGCTGACTCTCTCACTTGGCAATTCTACTTCGCCGTCTCACATTCCTTCCTAGCTCCAATGTAATGTGGCCAAGTGAAACTTAGTTGCTTGATACAAGATAATATGTAACACTCTCCCGAATACGCCCCCAAACTCCGCTTAGGTCTCCGCCTAAGCTAAACCACAGTCAAACCGTAACATAACGTTACGTGACACAAATCTACATCTCATTCCTCGACACACACACAATCAACCATGCGTTACACAATTTATTTATTATTTTCTCCCTGCAATCATTATTTAAATGTTTACAAGTAGGTTACACTCTTGAATTTTGTACTGTAATTAGTTCCGCCTCCATCGCCCTATTATCGATATTAGCGCTCATCATGTTTTTATTATGTGTATAAAACTAGATGACATAGTCTGTTTGTAAGACGGGATGATAGAATTAAGTGGTCTGGACTATAGAAACTGACTGAAGGAAGACGAGCGAACTTGAATTTAAATAGAATTAAGATCATGGAAGATAGGACAACCAACCATTTTTCTTTCCCTTTTCTCTGCAAAAAGATCCAAGTCCCAATCCTGTGACATGTTGCCAGCCGCATGTACTGGTGTCAAGCATGTATAAAATTCGATATAGAATTTCTTTGTGAACATCCTTACCTTTGATAATTACCTTTTTAATAACTAAGATATAAATTTACGAGTCAACCCAAAGTCAAGATTGTCCGCAGAGGTGCTAAGGTCTTTTCCGGACCTGACTGTCTCTATATTCCGCTTTAAAGACATCTTGCAGCTAAGTGTCTATTCAGAAAATTTCCAGCTAAGGAGTTGCCATATTGTCAGTAAGACTCTGATCTAAGGGAACAGATATTATTATCAACTTCAAAATATATCTTACCTTTAATATGATCAATGATTTTGTTGAATGCTTTTATCATGCCATCGTACAAAGGCTCGTGATCGACAGGGGTACCAAAGTATTTTACGAGCTTTCCGAACAACAGCTTATGCAGTTCCTTAGCCAAGTCCTTCAAGTCAACAAAACTGGGCGAGAACTGGTTGAGAATTTCGAGTTCAAAATTCTGCATGTAAGACCTCTTGTGAACAAAGTTTTCATAGACATCCCTCTCGGACCAGTAGTGGATATTTGCAACCTCGCGCGATTTCTCGTCGCGTTCATAAGCCACACACCCTACAATGAAAACGTAAAAAAAAGATTCCAGGTCATGACGATATGTGCGGTTAATGTAGATCCTGTCTTTTGCAGCATGTTCAAGTCGTTCAATAGCCATGAACATCATTGTGCCTATCAGGAACTTTTCTCCACCTACGTCTGGAGTTTGTTTGACGTCAATAGATTGATCCAAATCTATCAATTGCCCTTCCAACGTATCTCTGAAATTGGTCAAAATAATGTTATTGTCAGAAATATCCCCGTGGAGAATCTTCTTTTTACAATAAAGGCGTCGATGCCCTGCAATTGCATCTCTTATGCCTATCAGAAACTCTAATATTGATTGACTAGAGCGAAGACTACGACCACGTGGGGCCATAATCAGTCTAGTAAGCTCGCGATCTCTCAAACAGGAAGTCATAGTCGATCTCTCGTTATTTACGACCTTGGAAATATAATTATCTTTACCGTACATATTCCATTCTCTTGCACCAATAAAATCTAGCTGATCTAAATGATCGCTTATCTTACAGATTTTATCTGACGCAACATATTTGATCACACCTTTGACTCCACGCGCGCGCTTGAGAAACTTTATCTCTGATTTTCCAGGAGTTCTATTCCATGAGTATTTAACCACTGACAATTTGTCCACTGTTTCGTAGCAAGTAGTACCACGAGCAGCTAGCTTACCACTCTTGAAAATTGGAACAGGGTTAATTTCCAATTCCATTTTCTCTTGAAGTTTTTTATCTTCCACTCTCACAAAAAATCGTCCATTGATATGTTTGATAGTTGTATCAAGACCGAGTTCCTGATCACTCATGAGTGCGTACGAGGAGATCGCTCGAATAAACTTTTCTTTTTCACCGATAATACTTAATAGACCCGAGCTGTACGCGCCCGAGCGATGAAATACCCACAGCTCGAAATCCTTTTTGAACAAGCAGAATCCATGAACAAGGGATCGCAATGGCTGTGTAGAATACAGGTTCCGAACATGTCTAGAAAGTTGGAGAAATTTTTCTGTCCTTTGTTTTCGGGAAGGCCTTCTTGTAAATTCAGCCAGTGCTCTGACGTCTTTCCAATCGTGGGGCCCAATGTTACTTAATTCGACGCTTTTAACGAGGAAGTCAACTTGCCGAACACTCCTGGTATCTTTCATCTGTTTTTTGGCCGTTGTACAACAATATTGCCCGCGAAGCTGGGAGCCTTTCTTTTCCCTGATAAGACGTGGATACTTTTCCAATGGATCCGCGAATGGATCTACGAGCTGTGACAGAAATTTCTCTCTGAAAAAAACTAGCCATTCACACAATTGTTTCTTTGTCATGTCTTCTTTCAAACAAGTCGCTTTGTGGACATGTGTGGATTTATTTTGTTTTCGAACTCTGTACGCCTTTTTAAGTTGCTTACATTCTTTCAAATTTTTTTGATTCTGTAGTTCATACTGTTGATAACATTCCCAGATACGTGAAGTTTGACTCGACCAATTTTTTCCCTCAAAAAACACTTCCCAGAAATTTGTGAACCCAGTTATAACATTACCGTGAAGATCATCTCTCAGTGCTTCTGTAATTTCAACAGTCTCGTCGTCAAACCCTTTCACACCTACAGGACTCTCCGCGCAGATATGGTCGCTCACATTCTTCTGCAATGGTGTCACCTTACAAAATTGAGCTCCACAATCACCAGGTGAATGAATTTTCGCGATTTTTATAGCAATGCGTAAGATATCGTGCTCCTTAAACCCCATCATAATAGCGTCTTTAAGCTCATCAAATACGTTGAGATCAATTTGATCCTTAAAAATACGCTGCGTAATGACAATAAATCTTCGATAGAGTTCATACATGTTATCAATATCAGTTATAAGAGATGTGTAATTGATGAGATCGGTGAAGAAAGATCCGATACCTTTTTAAGTTAGATTGACTTATAATATCTTAGAAGTGAATCTTACCAGTTTTGTAATCTTTCTGAGTGAGAAATTCTCGGAAGTCTTGAAGGATATGTTCGATGGAGTTCTCAGCAAGGTGAGCATAAATCTCTGAAAACCTGGACATTTTTTGAGACGGTTTTGGGGTTGGATTACTTGTGAGGAAGGGGATAATTGAGCAAATGAATTTAGATGTGGTGCGATGAGCCCTAGGGATGGTGATTTGATTTGAAAACTTATTGTATCAGGCTTAATTACCAATACAATAGGCGCGAGACGGGTCTATGTTACCTGCTTAGGGTAAACATTTCACGAACTCATAGATATTACGCAGTCACGAGGACGAGGGCTGAACACATGTCGGTGATTTCCACTACGAACCTGGGAGTGAAAAATTCCATGACCGAGATTCAGTCATGAAAAAGGGTGGAATGAATTTTTATTGATGGATTTTCGGCTTGAAGGATTAATATTCTATATTTGGGTCGAAAAATCAGTAGGCAGAGATTTCACAACCGCAAGAAAGTCGAACAAAAATCCATCACCACTAACATGCGATTCACAAATGATCATAGGTCTGTCTGGGGGTCGTATTCAAACATCCGACATCTTTTAAACTCCTTTTATACTTGCGACGAAGCATTTCTCAGTCAATCCTACACCTGCAACCCACCTCTATACTCGTCATATCACTTACCCACACACGCCCTAATGCGAAAAGTCATGATGAAAACAGGACGTGTAAAAAGGAGGAAGAAAAGGGAACATACACCGAGGGGATTGTACAAATACTTAATGACGAAAACAATCGAACGCTACGACATGAAGGTGCAAGGCTAGAGAAACAATAAGATCTTCGACGGCATTTATATTTCTGTTTTGGTTACATTATGACAAGTCAGGCGTAAGGAGGGCAAGACTGAACACCGGTACGCAGTGTCCTCTACAAACTTGGGAGTGAAATATTCTCCCAGAGCCAAGTTTAGTCAAATTTCGCAATATCAAAAAAGTTGGCCCACGAGGCGATGATTCAAATTACTCCACCACGTCGTTTTTTCGGTCCCAACAAGTTCGACTCCTACCTAAGTCTCATCAAGTTTACAAGTACGACCAAGTACATCCTCATCCCAATGACCACACCTCTCTTCAACCTTCTCTGGCCTCAGTTGACCACCAAATACACGCCCACGCCGATATTTACACCCGACTGAGGAAGCAAAGCGTGGCGCACAAATCTGAGAGATAGCTCTTTGGGATTGGCGTGAGAGGATTAGGGACAAGTTAACAAGATGATGCAACGTATGGATACAGTCTCGACAGGCGTGGAATTTTGAATTTTGGCAACAGTTTTACAAATTGTAAGGATTCTTGAGAAATCCCTCAGGCTATTAAAATGTATAACCCACTACTTAGTTCGTGGACTTTATTGGTAAAGGGAAGCTTATGCAATAATGAAGGATAAAAGGATGTCAATTCGACTACTCTTCTAAACACAGGTACCAGACTCCTTTTAATCCCAATAGATAGCCCGTGCGGGATCTCCTATTAACAGCAGTAAACAACGCTAGCACAGGGTATACGCAATCTCCATTCGCCAAACACCAGTCGGTCGGAACTACTAATTATCGAGCCTAGTAGGATCGACAAAGTGTATCCCAACACAGAAATAATAGAAAACTCAACAACCAAACCCTTCATCAATTCGAGAAATTCGAAAATTCGAAAATTCATTTTTTCCCTCTTTCCTCCCTTCTCGACCTCGTCGCATCTATCTCTGAATTGTGATCGAGCTCAGGCATTTCACCATGCCTCCAGTTCGCAAAAAGCGCCCCAACGTCAAGTTGGACAACACGAGAGTCCACCCGAGGGCTCTCCAACAATTACCAGGCCTTGCCCAGTCTCCGAAATGCGCGGAGATGAGCAACGTCTCTACCAAAGGGAAGGAAAAAGCCCTCCCCACCGTCACTGAGCCCGATACTGACATGATCGGGTCAGTCGAAATTATTGAGGAAATTCCTCAACCATCCTCCGTCCCCCACGGGATTGGAGAATCGTCAAAATCTCCCCCGACCGCGCCAAAACTGTCGGAGAACGCTGCACCCAAAGCAGCGTCAAAATCAACGTCGCAGCCCAAAGCTGCCACGAAAGCAGATTGCCCTCCGGAACTTCGACCCATTATCGAAGCCGAGCAACGACGTGCCGCCGAAACAGCGGCAAATGTGGCCCTCTGCTCCGCCGCCATCTCTGGCGTCGAAGTCACCCTTCTTCCTTTGACCAACGGGTCAAACAGACAATTTGTAGACTCGATGAGAGTCTACCTACGCGCAGCCATCGCACAATACATGGCCACGGGCCCGGCCTCCACGCCACCCGTCCTCCCTCCTCGCCCGGCGAACCCGATCCCAAGGGCTCCCGACGTCAGGAGCACAACGATTTCCGCCGTCCCAGCGCTGCCTATAAAAAGCACCTGGGCCACGGTGGCCAGAAATGGACTGCAACAAAAAGCAGTCCCAACTGTAAAGGCTGTTCCGCGACCTGCGGCAAAAGCCCAAAATAAAGAAGCTCCGAAGGCTAAAGTCGACAAACGACTGTTCCTTCGCTTAGAGAGCGATCACCCATGGCGCCAGCTTTCGCCTGACGGCATACGGCATCAATTATGTTGTAGGCTACTGTACACATTGAGTGAAAAAAGCTCTATACACCGTGTCAGAACCGGATTTGCGATTCTGACAGTGGATGAAAATGAAAGGGAAGAGCTCTTAGAGGCCTCACCGAAGTTGTCGGACTTCAATGCCAAAATCGAGGAAGCCTCCAACCTTGTCGCCTTTCGGATCGCGAATGTTCCAGCGACTATAAAATTAATCAACCGTATTGAGACGGTCGATGCCGGTAGGATCTCACTGGAGATTTACCGCAAAACACAACGACGTCCATGCCAGGTGCGACCGCAAGGGACATGTCGTCCTGGAGCGCCATACAGAAACTGGTATGCCCTTTTCAACCGGGACTCCGCCCCTCGTGCGGGCTTCCGAATTCTCGACGAGTCCGGAGCGGCTACAAAGATCCAGCCTCGTCGCCAAATTGAACAGTGCAAACGCTGTTTGGGCTTCCACGCCACCCGTGGTTGCTCCCGCGCCCCAGCGTGCTGGAACTGCGGATCAAACATGCACTCGGAAGCCGAGTGCAAGGCCCTCACAAAGTGTCGCAACTGTGGGGGACCCCACCGATCGGATTCCCGGGACTGCAAAGTCAGACCCAGAAAGTCTGGACCGGTGACCAAAGAGCAGCTCGCGTGGATCCGCCACATCGAACAAGGGGAGTTCGCGAAGGTGGCACGAGCACGAGCAACAGCAAAGAAGGCCGAAGAGGCAATCACCGCCGCTGCAAAAGACGTCTCGATGGCCGAGGCTACAGGTTTCGGAGTTTTGGAATTTGAAGAAGAAGTTTGAGGACACAGCAACCTCGACGATGTCCCTTTTGGGGCATATACTAACCAATAGCAGGATACCAGCTGGATAAAAAGTGCCTGCTATCTCATCTCTTGCTCTCAGCGGAGATTGAGTAAATTTGTCATTTGGAAGATGTGGCAGGAAAGGGAACGGGCGAGAAGCGCGGGATCCGGACCACATGAAAAATCTTGTAAATTTGATTTCAGTCTTTGGCTTTTAGTTTTGATTTTAGTTTTTGATTACAGTTTCTGAGTTATAATTTACCTGCTACTTTTTCTGTAGCGGGTCACGCGGTTGGAATGAGTTGGGCCTGTAAGCAGTGATCCCCGCCGGCTCCACCAGTCTTGTACCAATAGTGGACCTAGAGCCTTAGCTTAGGACTTTAATATAAAAAAAAAAAAAAAAAAAAAAAAAACCCCTTCATCAATTACTTCCATTAACCATCACCTGACTTATCTCTGTACTCCATAATCTCAACACAGGCAGGATTTATGGGTCCCTTGTTTAATCCCACTAGTCTTTATTGCTTAGCGAGGGCACCTATGTAGTTTCCATTTCCGAGACTGATATCTTCACGCTTTGTTTTCTGTTATGAATGATGAGCACTGGAGATATTCTTGGGATAGATTTAGAGACAGTTGTGATATAATGCTAGAGAACTGAGTTGTAGACTTTAGAAGGGATTATTATTTGCTAAAGTATAATGGATAAAGTGTATGATCTGTGTTGGACACTTTTGGGGGCAGTGCCTGACCACCTGTCTAAATACATGAGAAGCTGGTCCGTGCACTGCTATCACTTCTCAACATCCGGATCCTCAACAGATCTCTACAACCATTACGTAGCTTACCTCAATTGTGTAGGCACAGCAGCTATATTAATCCATGACCTAGACCATGCACGTCTCTACATGATGTTAGCACGGACTAGGATTACAACACTCCCTCTGTCGATGTGCTGGCTCAGAGCAATTGTGACACGGAAGTGACTGTTTCTCAGTGGATTTGTGTTTGGGTTTTGGCTTTTGTTAGTGGATCTGCTAGTTGGTCTAATGATGGAATATATGTGACTTTTATGCGACCATTTTTGTACTGTTCTCTGCAGTAGTGGTTCCTCAGTGCTATGTGTTTGGATCGCTTATGGTTATCATGGTTTTTGATCAGAGACAGTGCTGATTGGTTGTCGACGTACAGGTTGGTACATTCCGTTCCTTCTATGAGCTTTGTGAGTTTGAGTTCTTCAAATAGAGATTTGATCCATTGCAGTTGTCGAAAGGTCTCTGTGGCTGCAAGATACTCTGCTTCTGTTGTTGAGAGAACTACTTCTCGCTGCAAATGTGATTTCCAGAAGATGGGTCCAGATGCAAGCCTGATTAATGTCCCGGATGTCGACCGACTGGTCGAGGGATCGGCTGCAAAATCTGCATCTAAGTATGCCTCGAGGATTGGTTTCTCGTTGCTTCTGGTAAATGTGATGCCTTTATCCGGATGTTTGGCTATGTAGCAAAGGATGCGGCGGGCAGCTGAGATGTGCTCTGCGGATGGATTGTTTAAGAATCTTGCAAGGTGATTTACAGCGAAGGCAATGTCAGGATGTGTGTTATTGTCTAGGTATTGGAGACCTCCGATGATCGAATTGTACTCTAGCTGTGATTGCCTTGAACATTGAGAACCGTTGG